CCCCCAAGTCTCTTTCTTCCGTAGTGCTAGCCAGCATAGACTTGATTAATTGACTCTGCTCAATCTAATTAAAATGCTCCAGTGGCCTGTGTGTTGCATGTATTTAGCATCCGCACATTTCAAACTGGTGGCGGGGGCACTTTAACTACAGCTCATAGAACAAGCTTTAGGTAAAGCACCCCCACCGCCATTTTGATGCATAGGCCACTGAATACGAGACACTGAAGATATTTTAATTAGAGAAGCTCCCGAGAACTTCTCTAATTAGCCCCACCCCAGAGCACGTGTAAAGGCACCATAAGTGTTTTTGGACTGGTCAGCTACTCAGATGTAGTTGCACTGCTGTAAACTCTCAGTTTAGATAAACTGAGCCAATATAAAGCAGAATTTACAATAGTGTGATGTACCTCACATTCAAACAAATACCCTTGAAGTAGACAAAACCTAAGTGAAAAATGTGTTTCTTTCAAACCACAGCATTATCTAATTGGAATGCATAATAGTCATGATTACACCTTTATTTTACTTTAATGGAAAGCATTTATTCCAAAACAGAAATGTAAAATTGTAAGAACTGCTTGTGATTGTATACAGCAGTTAAGCAATACTGATTTTTTCCTAATATTTGTGTAATAGGAATATTAGACAGCAGCAAGATTCACTGTAATGCTGCTATCCTTAGGTTTCTTTTTGCAGAGAGAGATGCCAAACTGTTTTTCTTTAAAAAGTGTTTGACCCACCACGGTGAGACATGAGGCAATTTGCTAACCTGAACACTGTGTCCTAATACATCAAGTTAATCCAAATACTTTGTTTTCTTAACAGTCATGCAACCACTTTGCTAGAACTTTCCTTTCACAAAGCATAGATCTGAAACTGTGCTTTATACCTGTGTATGTATGCTCTTGCATTACATACAATTGCTCATCAAGTGCAAGAAGATGTAGGCAATGTGTTACATCATATATCTCACCTCATCATTGTTTAAGAGTATGTAATACACAAACTAAAAATTCTAGGCAACATTGCTAAGTTTTAACCCCTTACATTTGCATA